AACAATATCATTAATATCACATGCAAGTAAAATCTTGCTGAAGATAATTAAAAAACAGTTGCAGCAGTATATTGACAGGGAACTTCCAGAAATGCAAGCTGGATTTGGAAGAGGATGTGTTATGAGGGATATCATTGTTGATGTCAGATGAATCTTGGCTGAAGGAAAAGAATACCAGAAATATATTTACTTGTGTTTTATTGACTGTGCAAAAGCATTTGTCTGTGTGGATCATAACAAATTATGGATAACATTGAGAAGAATGGGAATTCCAGAACACTTAATTGTACTCATGAGGTACCTGTACATAGACATGTAGGTTGTTGTTCAAACAGAACAAGGGAACACTACATGGTTTAACATTAGGAAGGGAGTGCGTAAGGGTTGTATCCTTTCACCCTACTTATTTAATCTGTTTGCTGAGCAAATAATTCAAGAAGCTGGACTATATGAAGAAGAACACAGCATCAGGACTAGAGGAAGACTCATTAACAACCTGTGACGTGCAGATGACACAACCTTGCTTGCTGAAAATCAAGTTGACTTGAAGCACTTATTGATGAAGATTAAAGACTAGAGTGTTCAGTATGGATTATACCTCAACATAAAGAAAATGAAAATCCTCACAGCTGGACCAGTAAGCAGAATCATGATAAATGGAGGAAAGATTGAAGTTGTCAAGGATTTCATATTACTTGCTTCCACAATCAACACCCATGGAAATGACAGTCAGGAAATCAGATGACATATTGCATTGGGCAAATCTGTTGCAAAATACCTCTTTAAAGTACTGAAGAGTAATGATTTCTATTTGAAGACTAAGGTGTGCCTTAGCTGTCATGATATTTTCAGTAGCCTCATAAGCACGTGAAAGCTGGACAGTGAATAAGGAAAACCAAATAAGAGTTGATGCTTTTGAATTGTGGTGTTGGAGAAGAATGCTAAGAGTACCATGGATTGCTAAAAGGACTAATAAATCTGTTCTGGAAGAAGTACAGCCGGAATGCTCCTTGGAAGGCGAGAATGGTCAGACTTCTTTTCACCTGCTTTGGTCATGTTGTCATGACCATGTCAGAAGGGACAATTCCCTGGAGAAGGATATCCATACTTGGTAAAGTAGAGAGTCAGTGAAAGAGGGCAGGCCCTCAATGAGATGGAGCCCTCAGTAGTACTGCAACTGTGGGCTCAGGTATAGCAAGGATTGTGGGGCTGGCACAGGACCAGGCAGTGTTTAGTTCTGTTGTATGTAGGGTCACTGTGAGTCGGAGCCAACTCAACAGCACCTAACAACAAGAGCGGGACACTTAATTTGTTAAACACATAATTTTATATAAAATGGATGCTTTTAGAATGCTTGAAGTTAAATTTTCCTAAGTGCTTAACTTTTCCTCTGATTGCTTAGTATAAGTTTACTTCACAAGTCTTTGTTTCATAGATAATACTAGGTAAACCTCAACCTGTACTAACTATAATAAATTCTACTTTACTGGGGGTCTTAATTAATGATGCTTTAGTATAACTTAAAAAACCTTTGCTATAGGCCAATTTTGATGATCTGTGGAGGAAGTTTGTGACATATTCATCTGGTGAGCAACTTTTTGGATTACCTGTGACTGACTATGAGGTTTTACACAAAACCAGGTAAGTCTGGAAAATGTACAAATATTTCAAGTGCAAGTAATTAAATATAACCCACAAGAAGAGTCGTACAAGCTCTGGTGGCATAGTGCCTAAGGCATTTGAGTGCTAATCAGAAGGCTGGCAGTTCAAACCCACCAGCCAGTCCTCGGAAGGAAGACTGGGCAATCTACTTCCATAGAAATAACCGCCTTAGAAACCCAAGGAGGGATTGCTATGAGTCAGAATCAACTCAATGGCAGTGAGTTTGAGTTTGAGAAGAGTCATGCGCCATCAAATTCTTTATCATGTGGAGAAGAGCCTGACTTGAAACGCCCTTAAATTCTTCCCTTATTCCTAACTGCTAGTGACCCATTTGATACACAATTTCCACATACAGAAGAAATGTTCTAAGGAGTAGAAAATGCATTGCAAAAATTCTGGGGATGCATGGCCTTCTTTTAGCCTGGGCTTCATTTTTTTTTCCTTTTCATTATTTTTGAATAGTGTCAATGATTGTACAGCAGCATTGCGATTTTGGATAACTTTTGTTTATTTGAGCAATAACCATTGTTGGCTCCCCATCTCTTCTTAATTGCATTTATGCTAAAGTGCTCTTTGCAATTGGATAAATATAAACTTTATTGAGACTGAAGGTCTAGGAAGTTACTGATTTTAAACAATGAAACATCACATTGATTTCAGTAAGTACATTGTAATAGAATTTTTTAAATATAACTTTCTTCAGAGGCAAAATCAAACCAGTGGTGTTAGCTTATTAAAGTATTTGCTTTAGAAAAGAACTTTATGTTGACTTCTTTCAAAGTCATTGCATGAAAATTTCATGGCAAGATAGATATGAAATTATCATAAATTAATGCTTTGGCTATTTAGGGTAGATGGTTTCTATTCTTTTTCTAAAGCAATGGTTCTCCAAGCTTAATCCATTTGACCATTTGTGTTAGAATGGCAGGTTTGGGGGATTCATTCCATATTTATTGAATTAGAATCTCTGGGATTGGAAAATCTGCATTTTTACACATTTTCTAGGCGATTCTTATGTACACTCAGCCTGAGAGTCAATGTTTTAACCCTTAGAATATGTACACTCAGCCTGAGAGTCAATGTTTTAACCCAAGAAAAATAATCACACCACTAACCATCAGGACCAACGTAGCCTTTAAAGATTTAAAGACATATTTTAAAATAATTTTACAAATAATTTAGAGAGATAAAAATAAAGGGACAGTGAACAGCAATTTCAATAGAAAATTTACTAAGAATTTAATCATAGCAAACCTAAACTTCTGTTCCACAATGTCCTAGTTTGAAGATTTATATACTCAAAGTGGGGACCATGCTCAGAATACATCTAACTGCTCATCAGTTGTCATTTATGAATCTGGAGCATACCCATCTTGTACACCCTGATTCCAGATTTCAGACCTATCTCCAACAGATTCTAGCTTATCATTACTTCTGAATTTTCTTGCACGTGTGTTGCTAAAACTCAACACCATTCGAAAACTCTGACATTTATAATTTTGCTGAAGGGAGGGCTGCATCTGGTTTGTGCTATAAATATGAAACATTTTTATTTTTAGGTTTAGAGTGATCAATTCAATGAATTTTTAAAAATTTCTACATAGTCTTTTTTCTTTATATATATCTGCTTTCAATATTTATTTACTTATGAACTGTATCAAATAAAACTTACCTATACATCATAAATAATGAAAGACTACTGTCACTTAGCATTTTCACAAAATGTGATGGTCTAGGTTCTTGTTGCAAAGTATTGCATGATGAGAGTTTAATAAACTTTATCTATGTTATTGTTACCTGAAGACTCATAATCTGAGATTTCTCTTATGCAATTAGTTAAACCATCAAAATTCTACACATCTGCCATTCTAACACAAATGGTCAAATGGATTAAGCTTGGAGAACCATTGCTTTAGAAAAAGAATAGAAACCA